ATGCTAGCAGTTTTACCCTGGCATTTACACCATTAATGCAGAAAAAGGTGAATAATGTCTTAGCATTCTGAAAATAGTTTGGGCCTTGTGGGCTCCCTGAAAGGAGGAGTTTACATCCCCAGAGGCTAAGATCATCATCTACAAACTGCTGACCTAAGCCAGTATTCCAGTCTTGCGGATATCAGAGAAAAAATCAAGTCGACCATCATCCTAGAAGGAAAGGGCATGGTGGGGAGTCAGCACCTGAACTTGTATTTACACCAGCCCTGGCATCTGGCGTCCTTTGTACTAACTGCATAAACATGCTCACAGTCGTCCTGGGCTGGAGCTAGCTTTACAAAAGCAGATTGCTGGGCGTTGAGTTTCTGAAGCCATGCCCTACTGGTTATTAGAAAACTCTTTGGCATTTAAACTCCCTTCTCCTTCTTGACATTGAAATTTAATATCATGGAATTGACACCAAATGATGATGTCAGGCCTTTGGGTTGTGACACCATCTGTTGGCAGCCTGGCTTTGGAGCTTCTCCCAGTTGAATTTTGCTGCCTGAAAGCAGAAGGGAAGGAGTAGTGCATTTGTTAAGAAGAAGATGCTTGAATCTTTTAGTGGACCTGCTTTCAGCAAACTTGTTTTTCAGGTCAGAATACTATATCCAGTGATCAAGCTAAACATGAAATGCTTCAAGTAGGACTCAGCATTCGTACTTAGATATTTGCAGATCACTGGGTCTAATAATACCCTTCTTCTCTTTTGTTGTCAGCAATGGAAGAGTTAATAGTTGAACTGCGTCTCTTTCTTGAACTCCTGGACCATGAATATCTAACCTCAACTGTCAGGGAGAAAAAGGCAGTGATAACCAACATTCTGCTGAGGATACAGTCATCCAAAGGTGAGTCTCATCCTGACGCCTGCTTTTTCTTCTTACAGTGTCTTGCCTTCTAAACCATCTTTAATTTTACCATCTTTCTAAAATGTATTTGTTTGTTCTTTAACTTACAAACTTATTTATTCATCAAGTTTTCATTGAGGGTTTACACTTGTGCCAAGTTCTGTGTTGGCCTTGAGGTGTAGAAAGATAAAGCTTTGAAGGAGCTAATGGAATCGTGTGTTGGGAGTCCCCAGGGCAACCCCAGCGTTTGGAGATTACCTGGAAGGACTCACCGGACGGGTTGTTCTTTCTCACGTGCAGGATGCACTGCAGCCGTAGTGAGGATGCACAGCCCGACGGGCAGATCGGAAGGAGAAGACACAGGCGCAACGTGCAGGAACCTATAGGCCAGCTTCTGTGTGCTCTGTCCCTCCCACGAGGGTCACACAGAGCACACTCTCTCTTCAGCAATAAAAACGCAGCAAGCTCTGAGTGACGTTTTTGTTCAGGCTCGTCAGAGACTCAGTGCCCAGGGTGTTTACTTGGGTCTGGTCCTCTAGGCACCCTCTGCCTGGCACACACCAGAATTCCAGGACAGGCAGGGCTTCAGCACAACCGTGTTGTTTACATAAACAGTACAGGCACAGTGAACCACCCTTGTCCATCAGGGAAGGGTGGGAGCACTTCTGAAATCCATGTTCCCAGAGGCCAGCCAGGGCCAGCCTTGCAAGCAGGCCCCTCAAGAGAGAGCAGCAGCCTTGGGCCTGCTGTGTTAACTCTTTCATGCACAGTGAGTAGGACAAAAAAACAGGCAATGAGAAAGCCTGCTAAGTACTGCTGTGGAGAGCCCAGAGCCTCATGAGAGCGCCTAGGAAGTGAGTCCGCACCAGGTGACTGAGAGACTGGGGTGTCGGAGGGTCCGAGGGGCAGTTCCTGGATGATGTGATGTGAGAATCTTGAGGACTCTGTGGAGTTAATCTGCTGGATGAGGTGGAGGATTTTTCTTTTCAACCTCGTTATTGAGATGTGATTCACAGGCCATACACTTCACCATTTACAGTGTACAATTCATTTATACTTTTATGTGAATTCTCTTAGTATATGAAGCCATGTATGACACGATTCGATTTGCATTCTGGAAAGCTCGCCTGGCCAGTCTGGAAGATGGGCTGAAGGATTTGGTAGCAGTTTGAACGTGGGTGGCTTGGGGAAACCTGGGTGGGCGATGGGGCCTGTTACTCAGATGAGAAAGCAGGATAGGGACCCTATTGTGAGGCAACATGAAATACTAACTTTTTTTTTTCTTTGAGACAGGGTCTCACTGTCACGCAGGCTGGAGTGCAGTGGTGTGATCACTGCTCACTGCAGCGTTGACCTCCCAGGCTCAGGTGATCCTCCCACCGCAGCCTCCCTAGTAGCTGGGACTACATGTGTGCACACCACAACATCCAGCTAGGTTATTTTTGTAGCTGAGTGTTTGCCATGTTGTCCACGCTGGTCTTGAACTCCTGGGCTCAAGCAGTCTGCCCGCCTTGGCCTCCAAAAGTGCTGGGATTATAGGCATGAGCCACTGCGCCTGGCCTGAAATGTTCACTTCTGAAGTACTTTTGTTACTTCCCTGCTCAGACTCTTTCATCTGTCAGCCTTTGCCTCTGGTCACAGTCAGACTCCTTCGGCCGTCCTGCAAGGTCCTTTGTCATAGCTGGTTATGAGTATGAACTCCAAAGTTAAACTGGCTTTTTGATTCTGGCCCTACCTGTTACCAAACGTGCAACCTTTCACAGGTTACTTATGCTTTTTTTACTTTAGTTTCCTCCTTGTAGAAAAAGTGCTAATGGTATTGACCTTATGGGATGTTGTGTGGATTGAATGAGATGGTATCAAATATTTCAAAACAGTGCCTGATGCATGGTAAATATGTCAGCTATTGATGACCGTTTGCTTTCCCCTGATTTCCTGTCCTCTCTTCCCCTGCCAAGTGAGCTCCGGCACTGGTCTCTTCACGCTTCCTTCTGGATGAATCTCCTGATATTCTTCAATTCATGAATTCTTTCTTCAGCTCTTTAATTTGCTTTAAACCGATCGATTGATTTTGTGTATGCATGTGTCATTTATCCTTTTCCTTTCTTGCTTTTGTTTGCTTGTTTGTTTGCAGTTCTCTACCAAAGTTCTTTTCTCCATTGCAGCTCCTGGGGCTCAGACACTGGGTCTTTCTGTGTTTCAATTCCTGGCCTCTAGCGTAGTACTGAACCCATTATAAGTGGTCGTTGTTAAGTCAGTATTTTTACAGGCCTTTCCAAGTGAGTGTTAGGCGTATAAAGAGTACTGTGCCCAGATTAAAAGTTGCTTCTCTCTTCTTCCTGCCTGCACTGGTGTCGTGTTCATCACCTTTCCTAGTAGTTCGTTGTGTATGTATTTGTTTTTCCAACTTGAATATGAGTGCCCAAGAGGTGTGAGCTTGTATCAGTCATGTCTTCCATAAAGTATGGCTGTGACAGTAT